GAGTGTTTTAATTGTTTTCATACTAGCTTGAACTTAGTGATGAGTTGAAGAAGAAGAGAAAAGAGAGAAGAAAGAAATGAGAATAACTTATCTTTATAATATAAAAATAAAGAATCACTATAACTATTCTCTCTAGTAATAAAGATCTGTTTTCTGCATGTATCTCTGATATAGATTATATAATAACTGTATATAAAGAATATCAACACTGCATGTATTGAATAAAGATGATATTACTATATAACACTGTTACTGTTTCTGTATATCTCTGAAAACTGTTAATATTTTCTTTGTCTCTTTATATTTGATAAGTCAGTAATATATTTCAATGCACTCTTTCTTTCATTATTATCATTATCATCATCATTATTATTATTACTATCATTAACATTATCACTATTATTATCATTATTATCATTATTATTGTTATTATTATTATTATTATTATTATTATATTATTTCTGACTATCTCTTCTATCTTCATCTCTTTTCAACACTCACTGAAATTAATTATATCATCTCTCTTTAAATATTCTGCAGTTCTGTGAATCACTAAGGCGCGTGAGTGCTGTCACAGATTGAAGAAAGAGAACAAGAAGATATTCAAGTAAGAAAAGACAGATTATAAGACATATTATAATATCTTGAAGAGACTCTGTAAAAGAGTAGAATGATAATGATTTTAAGTAACACTTCTGATAGATTTAGACTGAACTAAGTATAGAAATAATATGAATAACACTGTCTGTGAGAGATTGAAGAAGAAGACAGTGAAGAGTCTTATACAGTAGCAGTGAGATCAGAAGAAGTTCTGAGAATGATTTAAGTTCAAGATAAAGAGAGAGAGAGAGAAGAAGAGTATTACTATAAATAAGTAGTAACAGAAGAAGATTAAGAGAGTGTTGAAGTAAGAGATAAAGAAGTCAAAACTTATAAGTTTTTTATTTATTAAGAGATAATAATTTTTAATAATACTTCTATTCTCTAATTGATTAGCAGAAGCTGACAGAGAAGAAGGAAATTGAGACCTTATTCAGGTCTTGAATGCACTTCATAATTCAGAATATTGAGAAGACAGCTCTTCTCTCTGAGCATGTCAATCTGCTTACTACTGAGATGAAATATGAGACAGCAGATCAGAAAATATAGAATTTTGAGATACAGATTAATCTGACTAAAGAGAAGCAGTAGAAACCCTTCTCTAAGAAGGCAGTAAAGAGAGATTTTAAGATGATTATTATCTCAGATGAGAAGAAGAAAAAGAAGAAGAAGAATAAGAAGTAAATTATAAAGAATAATAAGAAGAATGATAAAGAGAAGAAGTAGATTTTTTTCTTTTTATATTAATTAGTTATAAGTTTAAGTTTTTAATTATTAATAATTAAAATTGATTTTAAGTTTTCAAAAATTATTGTACAAGTTGTAAGCAAGTCAGAAATGATATATATATATATATATATATTTAACTATCATGATTCACAAATCACTATAATATATAAGTATTAACATTTTTTCAACATTGATATTTATAATATTAATATATTTTTAATGATATTATCTGATAATGCAATTTAATAACACTCTCTTTCACAATATTAATATATTTTAAGAAATATAACAGAGATTAATCAAGATTATTTATTTACTTTTATACATCAATAATATTCAATCTGAGTTAGTACTAAAATTATAACTAAGCTAAGAAACAAGATTATTTTCTCTTATATTAATTCTTCTTACACATATCAGTGATCAGTTATTGAAAATAAATTATTATCTTTCTTAAATTATTATTATATCTTCTGAATTCACTTCTTTCACTTCTTTTACTTCTATTAAAGATTCACAAACTCTTTAAGAAATCACTGTGAATTACAAAGTCTATATTATTTATAATTTAACACAGAATACTCTTTTTTAATTATAATGAATAATCACTTCATTCTTCATATCTGATTTCAGGTCACAAAATTTATGAAAAACTCAATATAAACACTGAGATAAACTATGAAATAATTATTAACAGATTGTATTACAGATTACTGAAGAGTTATCTCTCTACTATAATTACTGTAACTTTATTCAGAAATATTCATTATAAACTGATCATAGCTCTGAAGAAATTTCCTGACATCTGAAGTTATCAGAATGCAGATAATAAAAGAAAAATAATCAGAAAATTACTACTGAGCTGATAAATTACTTTATCAGATAATAATTTTTAGTAATACTAACTTTCTAATTTGAAGAAAATCATGTGAAAACAATTATATATCAGTACTCTGATTCTATAACTCTCATCTGATAACTTCTGTGAATAATTACTTTGTATATATATATCTCTGAATCTTTCTCTTCAATTAATTGAAAACTCTGAATTTCAAATACTTTTTTAAATACTTAATTCAAATCTTCATATTTCATATTGATTCTGTCTTCAGTTCAATCTTGAGATACACTACAAAGTCAATATACAATATCTAGAATCAGAGTTGAAGAATCATCAAAGAGTGTCTCTTACAGTGAATACATGAACTAGTATAAACAATCTTACATTTATAAGAGTTATATATTATTACATGAATAAGAACTGAACTTATTAAGAGATATTAATTGAATTTAAATCATTGATCAGTAGTTATACTGAGAATTATATAACAGAGATATTAATAACTGTGATTAAAAATAACTATTGAGATATTAGTCTCAGTCTTCTTATAAATATAACTGATAATACTGTAAATAACTATACTATAATAAAGAGCTTGAAGTAAAAATTGACTTTGTATTTCTGAAATAATAAATAAGATTATATTCTCTGTATTACTCATGTGATTCAACTTGTAATACAAACACTGATAAAGAATCTTAATATCAAGATAAAGAATAATAAAATGACTGATTCTTGAAATAAGAATAAGATAGAAGTGATTACTTAAGTAACTTTTACATTCACTTTATAAAAGATAATGTTTTTTAATAATACTTTTTAATATTACTTTTTAATAATACTTTTTGATAATACTGCTGTTAATTTTAAATAAATTAACTAATAATTTAAATATCACAGATTTGAAACATTGTTAATATGATTTATATTCTCTCTAAATAATAATAATAATTTCATAATATTCAATAAATAAATAAATCAGTCATATCACTGAATATGATATAAAATATTAGAATATGATGAAGTTCAATATATAAGATAACTGTTCAGACTCTTCAATTGTATCAGATAATTAATTATTGAGTATAATACTCTGATTGAGAAAAGATTTAAATATTGAAACTTTCTGATATAAAGTGAACTCAGTTGAAATATATAATTGATTTACTGTTTCAGTTTTATAAGATAATAAAGACAGTCTTAATCACTTATATATTAATACTGCAGTCAGTCTGATAAGTGTATAACAGTTTATTTACTTATCTTAAGAAGTAGTTGAATCATTTAAAAAGAAATTCAGTCTGAGATAATACTATAGTGCAGACTATTATTACTGTAAGAAATAAACTGATATATTACTACAGCAAAACTGAACAATCTTTTGCAGAGTACTATGCTATAGCAGCTCTATTAGATCTCTCTTATTAAGTTAATATCTACACTTCTTAAGATTAAATAGAGAAGAAATGAGACTTGTATATTAAATTAATCTGAGACTACTATAATATCAACTATCAGAGATTTGAATAAGCAGATATTTAAGATATGAAGACAGTGAAATACAATTCTCTAGAAAATAACAATCTTTGATAACACTTTATATCTCATAGAACTATAATACTAACTTTGAAATAGAACTTATATACATTGATTGCAACTGAAAATCAGGTAAAACTATATACTTATAAAACTGAATTTAACTGCTATCTTTAAGATAATCTGATGAATTTATACATCAAATCAATTCTAGAGTTATAAAAAATTATTGAGAGTATATATTCAACTATTACACTGATGACATGTAATATTCTAATAATTTCATTAATAGAGATAAGAATGAAGTGAAAGTTCAACTCAAGTTAAGATATTTATTACTATTATCAGAGACAATTGTAAGAAGAAATAATTAAGAAACTCATAATTGTAAAATATGAAATTATTAGATAGTTTAATATCTCTCATCATAGTATATCAGAGAAGTGTAGTTTTTATAAGAAAGTGAAGAATAAACTTATATAAGAATGTATTTAGTTATTTCATAAGTATTATCAATAATTATTATCAAATTCTGATTATATAAATAATTACTGAATAAACTGAATGAGACTGATTTTAATCTTCAGTCTCAGTCTCATTCTGATTTTGAAAGAATGATTATCTTTCACAGTTTATTCTGAGAAATTACTCTCATTTCACTGTTCTTGAATTAAATCTGGTCATTTTTCACATTATTTCTCTCAGAAATGATTCATTTTCAGATTTTTTTAAGGCTTGATTCTGGTAAAACTCATATCAAGAAATGTATGAGATCAGATTAAATGAGATTAAATGTAAAATTTATAATCTCATCAGCCAGTCTAAGTGTTTAAGTGAAAATAGATAATAATTTTATTAATATAATCAATTATTTAACACTCATTTTCATTTAATACTCATCTTTATAAATTAACTACAATTAACTTCAAATATTTATATTTTAATAAATATTTATTTAAAACTATTCTTAAAAACAGAATATTAATTTATAAATATATATTATATTATATTGAATTTTTATTAGAAAATAATATTATATTTTTGAATTATATTATACTATAAGTCTTGATATTTATAGGTTACAAATTAAACAGTTAAAATAATGAATATTCATTGAGATATTAACATTTAAAGTTGTTTGTAATTGATTTACAAAGGTGAGCGTTAGCTGGAAACGAGCGTTAGGTGGTTGATTACGTTACTTGTCACGTATCATGTAATGTGGTGGCTCAAGTACCAGTTTCCCACATTTCAACATTTTGATGCTGGCTAACCAAACCTGTGCGAGGTAGATGATACCTTGAAAAATTTTTTGGCGCGGGCTTGGCCGCACTTGCCTGAGATGCGCACAGGAATTTTCGTCGCGTGACATTACCAGCTAGATACAACAAAGTGTGCTTATTAACAGAATCGCTTCATTCTTTTCGATATCTTTATCCCTACCTAAGCATGCTTGTTCAAAGATCAAAGAAATCCTTTCCTTTCCACTTGTACATGGACATGCGTCCACTGAGGACTTTGTGTTGCGCTGTTTGAAACATATGCACTCAGCCCCAGGTTTCGGGGATAACAGAGCTCACAGTCATGCCACATATGAGGGATCAGGCCCTTGTAACAATCACATGCGAGCGATCGTCGACTTCTCTGTCCACAAGTCCCCCATCGGGGCAAGCTCTGTCCTACCTCCAGGAACTCACTTCCAATTCACTCTCTTCGTTCGTCTGGTCGTCCGTCACCCGTGCCAGAGATGCTGTTTACAGGCTTAGGGCTAAGCCAGGAAATGCGGAGGAGATGCGAATTAAGGAAAGAAAACGTATCCTCTCTATAAGGCTTCAAGATGTAAGCTTTAGTCTCTACGTATAATTTAGAGCTTGACCTCTGACGATTTGCTTGAAGGCTACAACGCTCCACGATTGGTTGGACATTGCGAGTGAACTTGATGAACTTGATGGCAACAATGAATGGAAGGCGACTTTTGAATGTGACGAATATAATCCATCACTAGTTCAACGAAGACTACATCAGCTCGAGAAGGCCCGGCGTAGCTGTGATGCAGCGGCTATGACCCATATTATCCGCACTTCCCTAAGCCGTGATCTTGGAGGCATGACCAATAGCGACATGTATAACCACTCGCGAATCGGGACGAAGAACCTGGTAGATCAGTATATCACGACCGCTGCCGAAACCCTATCGACTTTGCTGGATGTGTCGCGAAAATACGATTTCGATGGCTCCGAGTCGAGATACCTGCTGGAACAGCTCCTTGCCGCTCGGCAAGCGTTTGGCCGAAGTGCACTTCTACTTTCAGGAGGCGCTACTTTTGGCATGAACCATATTGGTGTTGCGAAGGCGCTTTGGGAGACACGATTATTGCCACGCATTATCTCCGGTTCCTCTGCGGGTAGCATTGTTAGTGCTGTTCTGGGTGTCTATACGGACGAGGAAATGCCTGAGATCCTTTCAAACTTTGGATGTGGCGACTTTTCTGTATTCAGTGACGAGGACGACAGGCTGCAAGTCTTTCAACGATTGATGAGGTTTCTTAAACACGGCTCATTTTATGACATTGCCCACCTGACCCGAGTGATGAGGGATTTGCTAGGCGATGTGACTTTCCAGGAGGCATACTATAGGACAAGGAGGATTTTGAACATTGGCGTCTCCAACGCTGGCATTTACGAGTTGCCAAGGTTGCTGAACTACATCACCGCCCCGAACGTTTTGATTTGGTCCGCAGTGTAAGTTTACTGTTCTCCGTTTATTGTTAATATATACTAACTTCTCGCAGAGCCACATCATGTTCTGTTCCGCTAATATTTTCGTCGTCATCCTTGAAGGCGAAGGACCCAATCACTGGAGAGATAACGGAGTGGCACGATGCGCCTCATCGGTGGATCGACGGCTCGGTCGACCATGATTTGCCAATGACGCGCTTATCAGAAATGTTCAACGTCAACCATTTCATTGTTTCCCAGGTCAATCCACACGTTGTCCCTTTTATTCCACAGGAGGAGACCTTCTTTCTCAGCGATGTCGTGGAAAAGCAGTTGGAGTCAAGTTGGATGAAGTATCTTACAAGGGTGGCAAGAGAGGAGGCGTTGCATCGAATGCACATTCTTTCTGAGATCGGGGTGTTCCCTAACATCCTAAAAAAACTCAGATCTATTATGAGCCAAAGATATCACGGAGATATCAATATCCTTCCTCGGATACCGTATGACGTATTCCCGAGCATCCTAAGAAATCCTACCTCGGAATTCATGGTCCAGGCCTGCCTCTCTGGTGAAAGGGCGACTTGGCCCAAGCTGGGTAGGATAAGAAATCACTGCGCAGTTGAGCTTGCCTTAGACTCTGCTGTCCAAACCATGCGAGCCAGAGTTATTTTCCGTGTTGATCATGTTGATCCGCTAGTACGCACAGTAATTGCGCGGACCCCAGATCGCTCCGCGCTTCATCAACGAAGAATCCGTGCTCAACGGAGCAGTTCGTTCGACGCAGAGGCTGGCGAAGTCTCACAGAATAATAGACTGCCCAATCATAAACTCCGCAAATCACGAAGTTCCGCATCGCATGAGAATATTGGCTTCGATGCCACCTATTCACGGATGCCCACAGAAAGGGTCGGCGTTCAACTGCAAAGGCCGATGTTGTCGAAGATATCTGCGGCCCAGAAAGCTAACATTAGGATCCCTTCTACTCTTGGGTTAGAGCCGGACGATGGCCAGTTGGACGTTGAACTACCTCAGAATTTTCGACTCCCCGAACCTATTTTACCAAATGAAACCCCATATTCGAATATGTCAGAGTGGGCCAGTGCTAGTAGGGCGCAAAGTCCAGCTCGGTCACGTCGCCCTTCCAATCCGCATGTTCCAGCCACTATGCCAACTCCGTCATCGGTTGCGGCTACAGCGGTCCTGTCTGCAGCCGCACTACCCGCGCTCATCATGAGATCTGGATCGGTGACTGGCCCACCGTCTCCTACTGAACAACACCGACGCCCGTTTCATCCATCGTAAGATTCGAGCTACTAATGATATAGCGGCGGTACTCCGTAGTGCCAATCTGCTTCGGTTTGTGCTTGGACCGGTATTAAAGTCACTGGACAAGCACTTGTATTCCCATATCGTTTAAGTTTTTGTTGTTTCCTTGCCTCCATGGATATCTCTGTAGTAACAAGTTGGGGATTCCGGTGGCCTCACGGGAAAGTCCAAGCCGGAGTGCATCACAACGATCTGCCTGCGAAGTACTCCGAAGGATGATAACTCTTATCGCTCCTCAAGAACCCGTCTGCTTGAAATAACCGCCTCCCTCTTCCGACCAAAGCATCGTTTGCGGATTCCTAGTCGTTTGAGACAGACTGGATAGACACGGGCTATAGTTGTTTTTTGTATTTTGGCCAGCTGTAATGTATCATTAGATGTATCTGCACCTACCTAGTTATGCACTCTACATAAGTAACTTACATTGCCGCCCTCAGTCGTATTGACAAGCGCACCTGTTGCTGAAGATCCCTGAGAGTCTAAATTTTTTTGGTGTAGATTAAAGCTCCAACAAGTCACACAAATGGTGCGTAAAGGGGCATTATTGTTAGATTACATCAACCTTTTTGCCTTGCAGGGTTGCTCGCAGTTGAACGTACCAGGGCTATTCCCTCAACTACTAATGACCTGATGAAACCACACAAACCGGATTACTCCGTACCGTTGAACATTGTGGCCCCTCAATACACTAGACATACCATACTCAGCACATCATCTCTACACTCTCTGATCATATTGAATTTTCATAGTTTATGAGACTCTAGCTCATTCTTACTCTTTCTAATACTAATTCCAGTTTTTAATCCTCTAATCTACATCTCTACACTAAGAAACTGAGTGTTGAGAAGAGAATGAGAAAGAAGAATCAACATTGTGTGTATTATCTATCTGGCTAGCAAGGTTCTCTATATACAATGAGAGATGCAGTAGCCACAGCAACTATCAATATATTATGTGTGAGATGTGTACTCCGTCCATACCCCACACAAACTGCTCGTAGAGAGAAATCGTTAGTACGCCGCCCCAGAATCCGCCTCGCATGATCAGCCCACCGAAGGAAATGAAAGAGATCTGCCGTTTCTTTGTTCTTTGTTTTCTCAAGCAAAACTGCCCCCTGCAACCGTGCAGAGAGTTAATGCTGCTTGACTCCATTATTGGTGAACTCTAGCTAATGCAAAGCTAATGCAAAGCTAATAACGAGGACCGCTGTTCCCTTACAGCCCCCATCTCGCTCCCACTCGGCCGCTACATTGATTCTTTCCCCACCTAACCGTGTATGATTCCTTGGCCATGCATGCTGTGCTTAAACCTAGACAACTACCCGCCGGGGGCCGATTGTGGGGTGAGTAAAGGAGGGGAGGGTGACCAGCTCTGCACAACGATGATGAGAAATCAGCTTTGCAAATGCCGCACTGATTGATTGGTGATCCGATGAGTACATGGGGCCGAAGTCGATCCCTGTGGCAAATGCTATTCGGACTGATTATTGGCTTCTACAAGTCGAAGTCTAGACTGGGGGAAAGGAGGGGCCAAAGGGAGAGACAGCAGCCAGTTTGTGAATAATAATAGAATTGAGTGAGTGGAATGCGATCTCTGTGGTCCTGGGCAATGGGCAAATAGGAATTACGATCCTCCCAATGTTTCCCGCATTCCTAGTAAATTACAATGTCCGCCAGTTGTGCTCGAGATAAGTCATCCTTGGAAGGTTATAAATTTGATCTGCACATTGCGACCTGGCCCCTGTCATCAGCCCCGGCGGGCGCCGAGTATTTGGCCCAAATTTCCCATTTAAGTGAATTAAGCTCCATTTGAGGCCATTTGAGGAGCGTTATGTTATCTACCTTAACTTTGTTCCCTGTCTCCAGGCGTACGTTTCATGGATTATTTTTTATCGGGATGCTCGCTATTAAAACTCCAATTAGCGTGATCGTCCCGGGAAGGGCGCGCGCATCCTGGCGAAATTGACTGCGCTCTTCGGAGAAACTATGCCAACGATGCAAACGTATAAAACGAAGCGCAAATCCGGGCCCTTGCGGGTGCAATCACGAGTGTGACCAACAGGGTGAAGGTTTTCCCCTTAGCATCCTTGTTGAGGGGTTGATACATCCATGAACGAGGTATTCCCGGTGGTAGAAGCGGATTTTTTACCTAGGCGTCTGGATACTAGGTAGTTCACTGCCAATGTGAAGTTGGAAGCAAGAATAAAAGCTTGATTGCTTATTTCTTGAGACCAAGCTTTTTCGCAGGGAATAATCGGCTGTTTCTTCTCTTTGAGTAAAATAAATATGGGAGCTTTCCTTCATCTCATAGGGTTAGCATGGTCCGATATTCTGTTTATTGAATTATTTTTCTTCTTCTTCGCCTTTGCCCCGTGGAGCTAAAACTAGGAGGATGACGGCGTGGAGATGCCACATCATATACTTGAATCTATGTACGGAGTACTTGTGTACTCCGTAGTAATACTTGCTTTAAAATGGTGGGGGCTGGAAGTTTGTGTAATTCCCAAATACCAATAGTCGTGTTTTCTTTTCTGGCCTGTCAAGTTAACTTCGCGGCGGTTGGACTCTCAGGAAGGGAGCATCAAATATGGGCATCCAAGTTTTCGGTCGCGTTAATGCCTGCCTTGATGATTCTGCTATCCACCGTACGTGCATGTAAGCTAGCAGAGTCTTCTAGTAAAAACAGGGGAATGCTTATTAAATTATTTTCTGTTGCCTCAGGGCAAGGCATCTAGATTTGCGATTGGTGCATTGCTAAAATGGTTGTCAAGCGGGCTTGCACAGGATGCGCGATTACATAGGATGTGCGTTAAAAGTTTCCGTTGGCAATAATCATCATCGTCCTTTTCCGTTTCTCATTTTGCTCCATCTCCCCCTCGGATCCCAGATGACCACAGCCAATCAATGAGCAGCTGCCCCTCATTAGAACGACTTCTGATGGGAAGCTGAGCGGGTTTTTGTTCACACCCGCAGGTAACACACTCGTTAGTTAGCAAGCAAATTTACTTATCCGACTGAATACCGATGATTTTGCCTGTATAGGTGATGGATTTCCGCTTTTGTGTTCATACATGGCAGCCTGGAGACACATACGTCCTCTTGTGGGGAAATCGGGCCACTGTTAAGCGCTGTGCCGCCCGATCTGAGTATTAGTGCCGGGAGATAGCCAATAAAAAGGCCATTGTCAAAACTGCGAAGGAGAAGGATATCTCGATGTTGATCGCGGGTTAATCGCTTTGGGGGTGTAGCAGGGGTTCCAGAGTTTCTCAGGCCTCCGGAGGTGCAATAGGAGGTTCAAGAATAGCAAGGAGATCCATCTTGATGATAATAGAATGAGTATAGGCACGTACGGGGGAAATAATAAGGGCCTGTTCGGTGCGGCTATGTGTACTCGTAAAAAAGTACAGCCCCAATATAATGACTGTTTGGTGGGCAGAGTGGCTGTACTAATATTACAGCTGCTTTTTGCAAAGTAACTTACAGATGAAAAAGGTCAGATGTTTAGTGAATTGAGTAGCTGTACTTTCATCTTTTATCTCTCTATTTACTCTTTATCTCTCTCTTTATTATAAAAAAAACCAACTTTCCTGTACAAAATGCCCTGTAATGTGACCTCATGTGATATTACATGCAACCTCATTGAATTCATGAATGGGATTGAATAGCCAGTGCTGCAGCCTGTACAGCTCTGATATTAATCTTTATTCTTTTCTTTATAGATGTTCTTTACTGTATTTACATTCTGTCTACTCTTCTCTACATTCATTACAATCTATATGTTTATTAATATACTCATCACTCTCTTTAGTATAGAAAAACCAACTTTTACATGTAAAATACTTTATAATGTTATTTCATATGATATCACATGCACTCTGTCAAATTCATGAATAGAATTGAACAGCTGACTTTACAAGTCTATGTGATTCTAATATTAATTTTTATTCTTTTATACAGTATTTACATTCTTTATACTCTTCTTTACATTCATTACAATTTATACATTTATTAATATACTTCTTTCATACACTACTGCTTAGTATGTGAGAATTCTCATTCTCTCAGTATATTTGAATACTCTTAATACGTTTATTATATCTCTATTTATTATAGAAAAATTAACTTTTCTATGTAAAAAACACTGTAATGTAACATCACATACATTTTATTAAAAATATATAATGATGTTTAAACTGGCTGTGTAACTATGTCTGAGATCAAAATCAAACTTTACAGTTATCATATTGTTTAAATGTGAAAGATGTAAAGCTTGCTTAATTAAAAAGATTGCTAACTTGTAAGAAGTTATATAATAGAAGAATTAATAAGCTAGAATATATAATCTAACATTCTCACTTATCAGAGTAACTATACAGAATACTATATATAAAATTCATCTTCAAATCAAGTACAGGTATAAAAATGACTAGAAAATATAAGGAAATAAAAAAACCAGTTATGAAATTAATGATTTTTTATCTTCTTATTTGTTTATGTTAATATTGTTCTTTCAATGCATATATTTTAACATTTCAAGTGATTCAATCAGCTCATTCACTGTGTTTTCAGCAGATGAAATATTATATAAATATCTCATTCTTACAGATAAGATTCTGAAGAATATGAAAACAGATCATTATATACTTCAATCAATGTAAAATTGCTTCAAAAGAGAATAGCTTTATAATAGATATATTATTAATATAGATTGTATAAGCAAGATTATTAACTGCAGTAAAAATGAAATGATTATTAATATTTAAATTATTAAAATAAAATGAAATGAAATTAGTGTTGTCTAGAAGCTTACATAGATAAACAAGTGTATAAATAGTTTTAGAGAATGCAATATATTTAGTCTTAGTTAATGAATTGAAAATCTTAGTTTGTTAGTAGCTCTGTTATATAATAGTTACTTATTATATAAATGATATAATCAGTAATTGAACAGAATCTCAGATCTGTATTAACTCAATGAATGTCAGCATATGTTACAAATTTAATATAAGTATCTCTGTGAAAAATTATACTCTTACTGATTCAATCTTGTAAATATCAAAGATTAAACTTTCAGTTGAATTTTAAATATTATATTCAACAAAGAAGTATTAAGTAGACTGACCGTGTGATCATTTCTGAGATCAGAATCAGATTGTTTGATAGTCTTATTATTAATTCAACTGATCTTATTACACAGTTTTAACATTAGATAGTAGTCTCATACTGTCTCAGTGAGACTTAGTGTCTACTCTTATCACATTTTTCAAATGAGATCATGATTTCTACTTCTCAATTTAAATTATTTTTATTGCTTTAAATGACTTTAAATCTTATTTGAGTGTTATCAAAAAGTGTTACTTTTTAAAAAATTAAAAATAGTCTAAATAAAACCTTAAAATGTCTAAAAATAGTAACTTTATAGCAAGAATGAAAATAAATGAGATTAAATGAGATCACTTTCTCATTTTTTTCCAGTCATACTTTCATTTTAAGATCTCATATATAGTCACTTTGCATGTTTTTTTAATAACTAGTTCCAGTGAGATTCACATCAAGAAATGTATGAAATCAGATTAAATGAGATTAAATGTGAAATTCATAATTCTGTCAGCCAGTCTACTATCAAGACAGAAAGACTATTGAATAGCATAGTCAGACTATTAAATACAGAGAGAGATCTATTCTTTCAGACTATGAGATAGTTATACATAGTCTGTATCATCTTAGTAGCTGATTATGAAGTTTAAGTTTGATGAAATAATCAAGAAAATTTCACTGAACTCTTTCAAAGTCTGTAAAACAGAGTATTGAGAAGAATTCTAGAAGAATTCAAATTATCTTCTCTGAAAGCAATGAAAATTAAAGCTTTAATTTATTCACCTGTTATTAGATTGAAAAGACCTATATAAACTATACTCTCAGATAGACTGACTGTGTAACTGTGTCTGAGATTAGAATCAAACTTTACAGTTATTACATTGTCTAAAAGCATTACTTCTGATTATGATTTGTATTCATTACATTAATCTCAAATCATATTATTTCAAATATTAAAGATTTCAGATTCACTTTTCAAATAAAAATCTAGTTCTAGATAAAGAATATATTTAAATTCTTAGTTATATTTTTATTCTGATTTCATTATTGAGAATGATATGAGATTATGAAATCACTTCTTACTTACATGATATAATAATATAGTACTCATTTGTGATTCAAAGGTTGCTTAAGCCAGCGTACGATTACAGGCGTACGCCGGCTTCTTATATATTGAATCTCGTACACTAAATTAATTAGCAGCCGCTAGGGCCCCTTTACATTTGTACACATACACTAGTAGTTCGGAAGCAGCCGCATTATTATTCAACAGTTGTATGTTCTTCTGAACCACATCCTCCCCCACCAGATTCAGTCACACTCATGTGACTATATTGTATGCTCTAGCTTCATGTGGATTAGCTCGCCACTAGTGTTTCACAATTGTGTGATCTATCTCTGATCTGGCTAGTGTTCTGCATACACTCTTACAAAGAAACTTTCACTATATTATATCACTCATTCACTAACTTTTCTCATTCTTCAATCATCTTCTTCATCATCATCATCATTGAATATCACTATTTCATTCAAGATTCCTGTCTCTTCTTCTGTTCAACTCTTTTCATCTGTTCATCTATCACATCATATGTGTTTCTGACAATAGCTTCTCATTTCTACAACAAGTGTCATTGTAGTGCTCATATCAGGCAGTTTGTTAGCAGTAAGTGTAACACATTGTGAAATGTGATCAGGACTTGTTTATCTTCTAATAATTATCAGAATGTACTATTATGAATGACATATCTTCTTCATCTTCTCATACACTCTCTTCATCTTCTTGTATACTCTTGACTGTTTCTCTCTCAGTAAGTTCCTGATTGTGTTTTCTGACATGATTTGCATGAATGCAGATGCTGATATGTTTGTTTTTATTCATGTAGAATCTTCACACATTGACAGATTCATGTTCACTGATGATAGTGAACTCAATGTTGAATCATTGATTGAGAACTTGAAGGATGCGATAATGGAGGAATTGTCTGTGTTATGTGTGACCAGGTCTTTCATGTTCCTCTCTGCTCTCTCTGTTCCTTTCTCTGCCGCTTCTCTTCAATCTTCTACACCTGCCTCTGTGTCTGATTCTCTCACTCCTGCTACCCCTGTTCCTGCAACCCTCACTCCTGCTACTTCTGGTTTTGCTGTCTCTGCTTTTGTTATCAGCTCTCTCTGTTTCAAGGAGATATTGCATAGACTTAATGAATCATGTCTCTCAGTGTGTACACTCCTGCTCTTCTTGTCAACTCTCAGAACAATTTATTGTACAAAGACTGTGTACAACATAACTATCTGAAGCTCAGTCATGAATGCTGATTATTATATTCATTTTAAATATTCATGATGAGACAATTGTTCATTCATATCAGAGAATCATCTTTCTCTTCAACAGTGTTAAGATTGTAAGTCTTTTTCTTTTCATCTTTTTAATCTGATGCTGATTTTTCTGTTCTTAGAGAAAATTGTTATGAGTTTTGCTGTACATGAAGTTGTGATGTTCACAGATATCAAGAAACTTTTTATAACTGTAAAGTTTAATATCACAGAGACATTCACTCTGATAAATTCCTTCAGAATGATAGATCTGTATTAGTCTATTCTCTGATATCTGTTATCTGACTTCATGATGCAGGCAAAAGATATTCATGTTTTCAGAAACAGAAACACAGATATTGTACTCTTTTACATCTGCAGATGTGAGACTTGTACATCTTGTCTGAGATGTTGTTGTGGAAATGAGCTGTTCACATGCTGTGTTCTACTTTCTGTATTCTCTCATATCTCTCTCTCTCTTTCTGAGAAGCCTTGTGCGTGTTGTAATTGCATATACAACTCTAAGACCAGTGAATGTTCATTTGATAACTGTTCTCATTTCTGATTTTGCAATTTTTATATGCTAACAATGATTCTTAGTTGCTTCAGTGTCAGAGACCATTCTGATTGAAGATGATAACACTGCTGAGACTATTCTCTTCTGTCTCTAAGCTTCTTCTATCACTTTCTCTTCCTTCTCTGTGAGAAAGGTTGTGTGCATATCAGATTGTAAGCATTCAGCCTCAGATAACTCTTACTGTCATTCATTCAGTTCTGTATCTTTTTCTTCTTCTGTTTCTTTCACCTCTGCTCTCTCTGTTCTGACTTCTGATTCTATGAGTTTCATGCTCTTCTTCAATTTCTCTACACATACATGTGTGCATTCCTATATTGGCATTTCAGTCAATCTTGTGATAAATGACATTAATGTTGTATACAGAGTGGTAGAGAAATTGAAGACATGCATGATGTTGTTGCAAGAGCAGCTTGCAGCTCTTGAATTCCTCGCGGATCTCGAGTTTTGAGATTTCCTTTGTTTTTGGCGTTTTTCAGGTGGTGTGGCATTGGAAATAGATTAAACATGTGATGTATGAAAATGAATGAAGTGTGTATGATAACATTTATCTTTTACAGCTGACTCTTACAGTTAATGATCAATTCATTATTTCTTTTCTTACACTTTTCCTCTATCTGCTAGTCACTACTCTTACACAACCTCTATATGATACAGTGTTCAGTGACTAGGTTCAGCAGCTTTCAATTTTTTGTGATTCTGCCTCGCGCATTATACTGTCTCTCTTCACCCACTCAGACCACTACAGTGAATGGTTCATCAAAACTAACCTCACCCGATCTCTGAGTGTTCTCAGGGGTCAAGATGACTTGGTCCCATGCATTCATGAATGTTTCAGATAGTTTGTCTTCTGTGATCTTCATGATTGAACTGGTGTAAACAGTCAAATCTAACTCTGGATTTCTTTTTCTTCTGTGATCTGATTCATGTGTAAGTCTGTCACTCTGAGACTGCTCTTTGCCACATTGCATCTGCTGTCTGCAGCATATTATCATACAATCAGCTACAGTCTCATCACTTATTAAAGTGTGATATTTATCTGATTTCTTCATTTCTTCTCATTCTTTTCTTATAATCATGGAAAGATTGAAATAAGTGAGATCATCTGATTTGTAAGTATCTATGATTTCTCTTACTTCATGAGGCTTTTCAATTGTAAGTCTCTTCTTTTTCAATGCTGATGATAGTGCTGTGAATAATCATAATTCACTCAGGTCTTACATCTTTACTTTCATAAGTTATGAATCATTGATTAAGTTGTATAAGATTCATTTCTCTGATTCTTTCAATGCATACATTCTCAGAGAATGTGATTTAAGTATCTTATATGACTCAAATCATCTAGATTGAAACTTCTCAGAACTCTCATTGTGTATGAGAACTCACATTCTCATCTTGAGACTTGATTTCTTAATAAGTGAGTCTTGTATTCTTTTCAATTGAATTGCTCAGTTCAGAAGTAACTCATTAGCTTTTGCACATGCATGGCTGATCTCTTTCAATCTTGGTTTCACATCCGCGACTGTTGCATCTGCAACTGCTATTCCTGCTGTATCTGCAACTGTTGTTTCTGCTGCGTCCACAACTGCTCCCTTCTTCACCTTTTCTGAAGCATTCTCCAGGATGCGTGGATGCAATCCATACAACAGGTAGAATGGTGAATGCTTGAAGACTGCATACTGTCAAATCTGTGTGACCAACAGCACCTGCCTGAGATATTCATCTCATAGTCTCATAGGCTTGCTCACTAGATATTTCATCAGCATGTTACTCAAGATTCCATTCAAGCATTCCATCTTTTCATTCATCCGCGGATGATATGATGTTGTTCTACAATGTCTTGTCTGTAACTGGCTTATGAAATGCCTCACTGCTTCTCTCACAAGGTTCACACTGTTATTAGTTAGAATCTCACACAGCATTTCATAGTTGACATAGATCTCATCATGTAGAAACTTCATCATCACCTTCTCTGTCACCTCTGGAACTGCTTTTGTGACTGGCCAGCCAGTAGTGTAGTCAATAGCAGTGATTATTCATCAATTTTCATTTGATGTTTGCAGCAATATGTCTATGAGATCCATTCTTCATCATTTGAACAGTTGTATTATACACTTCACCTGATATTGCACTTTCTTGTGTTCTAATCCTTTCTTAGATTCTTTCACAACCTGGCAATTCAGACACTTGTGAGTGTACATCTGAATGTCCTTAGCCATGCTTAGTCAGTACACTCTTGGTTTGAGTACACTTATGAGTTCAGAGCTTTCTAAGTGGCTGAATTCCTTGTGCATGTGAGTCATCAAGTTGTGTCAAAATGAAGATTCTAGATAGAAAGCTTCTGTGTATTCTAGATCATAGTAAAGCACAACATTGTTTTTCAATTTCCTCAGCTTGAAGTTCAGAAGTATCTCTTCTACTACTTTCACAAGATGCTTGTCATTCAACATCTTGTCATTCTTCAAGTGAGAGATTATAGTGTTCATTCATTCTGATTCCTTGCATTTTCTCAGTGCATTTAACACAAACATTTCTTATGCCTGGTTCACAGAACTCTCATTCATGAAATCAGGTCTGTGACTGATTGTGTCAGATATCACTGCATTTAATCTCTTTCAGTATTTGATATGAAGATTATATGCTTGAAACTCTGAGATTCAACATACTAAGTATTTGAAAGGTTTTGTCATTGATTGTAAATAGATGAGACTTTTATGATCTGTGATCACTGTTATTGTATGCCTGTTGTTAATATATCTATTCCACAACACCAGTGTGTGCTTGATTGCTAGCAATTTCTTTTCATACACTGAGTAATTGAGCTCAGCGCTTGATAGTTTCCTACCATCATATGCCACCAGGTGCAGCTTGTCATTCTTGCTCATCTGTAGAAGGACATCTCTGATAGCTCATTCAGATACATCTGTCTCAATGTAGAAAGGTTTATTACAATCTGATTGAATAAGCACTGAGGATGTTATTACACATTCTCTCAGTGTGAGAAAAGCCTCTTCACACACAGCATTTCAGATAATTGAATGAAACTTCTTCTTTTGCAGATTTGTATCTGTTTCTCTTAAGAGATCTGAGAGTGATGCAGATATTCATGTGAAATCCTTGATGAATCTGCAGTAGTATGAGACCAACTCAAGAAACTGTTGTACATGGTGTATGTTCCTCAGCTGCGGTCAATTCACTATGACATTCAATTTCTCTGAAATGAGGTATATACAGTCACCACTCACTACATGTCTCATGAACTTCAACTCTTTTATTTCAAACACACACTTGATTGATTTAACATAGAGCTTATACTCTGTCAGAGTTATAAGCACTTTATCAAGATGCTTCAGATGTTCATTGTATGAGTTTGAAAAGACTAGAATGTTATCAAAGTATACAAGGTATGAGGTTTCATTCTGTTTATGAAGGATTGTATTCATCATTATTTGAAAGATGATGAGTGCATTTGTCAGACTGAATGATATTACTAGGAATTCGAACTTCTCTCATTGTGTATTAAATGTGGTTCACAGGACTGACAGTTTGTCTACACAGATCTGTCAGTATTCTGAGAGAAGATTGATCTTCAATAGATATCAGGTGTTTCTGACTGTATTCAACTGTTATTGAATCTGTGGCAGTGAATATTCATTCTTGATCATTAGCTTGTTAAGTGCTTAATAATTGATACACATCTGTCACTCTTCACCCGCCTTTTTCATGAATAGGACTGGAAAGCCTCACATGCTTGATGAGAATTGTATGAGATCACATTCTAGAAGGTCTGTGATCTGACACTTCTGTTCTTCAAGGTGCATTTGTGACAGGAGGTATGCATTCTGGTTGACTGGTTTTGCATTCTCTGTGTCAATCTCATGTACAAATCCTTGTTCTGGTGGCAATTCTGATGAAAGATCTGTTCAGAAGATCTTTTCATGCTTCTTCAGAAGCTTCTTCATATGCTTATCCTTCTGCATATCTTTTATCTTGGTTTCCTCCTCTTCCAGGTTCTGTATGACATACAGGATGCTTTCAGATGAGGTCTTGCAAATCATTCTCTTTGCTTGTTGATGTGTAAGCAGATTTAACTCTTCTATACCAGGGATGTGAAATGTTCTTCTCATATCAGTTGATAGGATTGTATGAATCATTTTCTTCCTATCAGTCAACTGCATATGACATGTACATCATTGAATCTGTGAATTGAATCTTTGGAATCAATTGAGTCTGAGAATAAGATCATATTTCACATTCTGCAGCTCTCGTGCTCAAATATAGCAAGATCATTCTTCAAAGTGCAAGGGAACTCTTACTTTTACAGGTGATATCAAATATTAGTTATCAGATAATCTTATGTGTCAGAGATTCTTCACTCAGCAGACTTCTTTCAATCTTCAAATTATATGATCATCAATATATTGTATCAAAGCTTCTGTGTCTGCTAACACTTTTGCAGCCACCTCTCAATTCTTATTCAAGTGTCTCTTATACATTAACATTTCGGGCCTCAAGGCATTGAGGTGGGTGTCTACTTCATCCTTGCTCACATCTCAGTCAGAAGCCTGCTTCTTCTTTGCATTCATAGAATTCAGAGAGTCATCTAACATGAGCATCTCTTTCACTTTGAAGGCTTTTCATAGAATATCAGTGAGTGTCTCTGAGCTCACTGATTCTGCTAGTTTTTTGACTGTGCATGCTGAGTGCAATCTTTTGTATCATGATTTTGACATCTGCAGTTGAAACAAGCTTGATGCTCGCAACATCAAGGTTTCCACCCAGGGGATCCCTTTTTCAGAGGATTCGGTACTTTAGTGATGACATTCAGATCTAGATTCATCACATCTGAGTGTGTAACTTGTGTTGTAGAAGTCTGATTATTCATTCTCTGCTGAGATATACTCAATTGCAGTATTTTCTGTTGCAATTGACTCACTTATTCTCATATGATGAGGATGTTGTATGCTTCCTTCACTGTGCCTGGCTGTGAGGTTAAGCATTTTCATTCTGCTCTCAACTCAGGTGTAAGATCATGAATGAAGATCTGTAAACAGAAAGGTGTTGAAAGCTCTTCATTTAATATGAGATAGTATAAACTGAAGTGTGTGAAGTATAATGTAAGATCACTTACTTATCTACACTCAGTGAAGTATTCATAATGCTTGTCTTACATGTTCACTTTCTCAAAGTTATGCAAGATTCACTTGGAAAACTTATTCCATGTTCATGAGAATGAATATCACTCTGAGTCTGTGAGGTTTATCTTTTTATCAGTCATTTATAATAACTTCACTTTTCTGCATAGAAACACAGCAGATCTTAAGACTTGTTGAAATTCTGTTAACTGTCTGTCTGTGAGTTCACATTCAATCTGATAATATAATTGCATCTGACTTAGTCAGCTGATTACAGCATCATTTTTTCAGTCATCATTGAAGCTTAATGACTCTGACAGATCTCTTAGCTTGATATATTTCATGCTCAGATTCTCATTCTGCACAGTGATCTCTGATGATGTGTATGCTTCTGAAGAGATTGTGAATAATTGTGATGAGATCTTCAGGTTCAGTGTAGTCACCTGTCTGTGTAAACATTCAATCTCCTGCTGCAGGCCTAAGATCTGGTTTTCTCTATTCTTATTAATGATGGCAATTGTGTTGATGAAGCTCTTCATAGTGAATGCTTGATCTGCAGTGAATATCAATTGTTGTTTGGCCTTCACCTCAGCCTGTCACTATGTATGCAAGGCCTTGATCTTGTTTAGAATTCTCATATGTGTACAGAGCTTTGATTCTGGTTCAACAGTCTCAGCTGCTTTTCTTACTGCTTTAAGTAAACTCTCTGAGAGATTCTGCATATCTTTCAGTTCAGGTAGCAGAGAAGAGTGTTATTCATATCAGCTAGAGAAGATATTCATTTCAGTGATTTCTTGTTGATTGTATGATGTCTATCATTATTGCTGTATCATTATATTACTATATCACTGTATCATTATATCACTATATTGTTATATTGCTATATCACTCTGTTATTATCATACAACTTCAGTGATGATTATCTCTTCTTTTATCCTTCTTTTGAGTAGGGAGCAGACTTCTTTGAATCTGGTTCACTACTCTCATTCTCTTTCTCACATCTCATCTGTTCGCGTCTCATACATGGCATTCACCTGGGTGTGGAGTTTTCCCTCAACAAGTGAAGCAGTATCAATCAGATGCTCTTCTACTCACCACTCTTTGTACACTATCTTTTGAGACATTCTAGAACCACACTGGCATGATAACTACAAATCACTTTGTAGATGGAATTATCATGCCCTGGAGAAGCCTGCACTTCTCACCAGTTTTTAGACATGCTATCAGATGTGATTTAAAGGTTGCTTAAGCCAGTGTACAATTACAGGCGTATGCCGGCTTCTTATATATTGAATCTCATACACTAAATTAATTAGCGGCCGCTAGGGCCCCTTTACATTCATACGCATATGCTAGTAGTTCGGAAGCGGCCGCGTTATTATCCGACGGTTGTACGTTCTTCCGAACCACACATTTATTGAAAATTCAATAGAGAGTATTATCAAATATCATTACTTTTCTAAACACAGATTATAATTCATATAATTTTAATTATAAAAGAAATATAAAATACAAAAAAAAAACACAAAACAAAAAATAAAACAAAAATAAGAAAAAATCAGAATGAAAAAAAAAAAGAGAAAGAAAAAAAAAAGAAAAAAAAAAAAACTAAAAGAAAAAGAAAAAAAGAAAAAATAAAAATAAAAAAAAATCAAGATTGTAAAGTCACAGTACTCTTAAAATATTCACTCTTCAGAGTCTTCACAATGTTTATTATTAACTGTGTATCTCTCATAGTAAGAGTAATACAGTTATAATGAGTTATTGTCTTAATATTATCTAATAACTAATCAGTATATATCTATATATATGTGAATATTTAGAAAATATACACTTAAAAAGTGTGATTAGAGTGAACTCTGCTATTACTTAAATATTATTAAGAATAGAATACTGAAATTAATAATTTCTCTTATTAATTTTACAGATAAGATGAGTGAAGATATTCTTAAGAAATATAAGATTCTCTGACTTCTGATAAAAATAAATCTCACAGAGAGACTCTATTTTCATAATATTAGAGATTAAGTATTATTAAAAAGTATTACTTTCATATAATATATATATACTTACTGCAATGATTCACTCTCTATATATATAACTAAGAGTTGTAACTTTCTTATATCACACAGCTCTTTCTGAGATGCTGATGCTAGTTTATAACTTATATAGTCTCTCAGTTCAGTACACACTGTGTGTATACAGCTCTGTATACTGAGACTGTGTTGATTATTATAATCTGATATAATACTCACTTTTCACAGATCATATTTCATTTGAGAAAGAAAGAAAGAAGACACAACTATAATTTTATTAAGAGAGAATAAATAATTAGTAATATTAAATATAATTTAATTCTTCTATATTTAAAATTTGATTAGTCTATACTCTTCAATTTAAGAATTTCTAAGAGTATTTTAATAGTTTTCATATCAGCTTAAACTTAGTGATGAATTGAAGAAGTGTGATTCAAAGATTGCTTAAGCCAGTGTACAATTACAGGCGTACGCCGGCTTCTTATATATTGAATCTTGTACACTAAATTAATTAGCGGCTGCTAGGGCCCCTTTACATTTGTACGTGTACACTAGTAGTTCAGAAGCAGCCGCATTATTATTCAACAGTTGTACATTCTTTCAAATCACATCCTCTCTCACCAGATTCAGTTACATTCATGTGACCATATTGTACACCCTAGCTTCATGCGGATTAGCTCGCCACTAGTGTTTCACAATTATGTGATCTATCTCTGATTCAGCTAGCATTCTGCATACACTCTTACAAAGAAACTTTCACTATATTACATCACTTATTCACTAACTTTTCTCATTCTTTAATCATCTTCTTCATCATCATCATCATCAAACATCACTATTTCATTCAAGATTTCTGCTTCTTCTTCTGTCTAACTCTTTTCATCTGTTCATCTATCACATCATACATGTTTCTGACAATGGCTCTCTGTTTTCACAATAAGTATCATTATAGTGCTTATACCAGGCAGTTTGTTAGCAGTAAGTGTAACATGTTGTGAAACATATGTAATCAGAACTTGTTTATCTTCTAACAATTGTCAGAACATACTATCATGAATGACACATCTTCTTCATCTTCTTGTACACTCTCTTCACTTTCTTATACACTCTCAATCATTTTTCTTCTCAGCAGGTTCCTGATCATGTTTTCTGGCACAATTTTGTGTGAACACAGATGCTGATATGTTTGTTTTTATTCATGTAGAATCTTCACATGTTGACAGATTCATGTCTGCTAATGATAGTAAATTCAATGTTGAATCATTGATTGAGAACTTGAAGAACACAATAATAAAGAAATTGCTCATGCTATGTGTGATCAGGTCTTCTACATCTCTCTCTGCTCTCTCTGTTTCTTTCTCTGCCACTTCCTCTCAATCTTCTACACCTGTCTCTGTGTCTGATTCTCCTGCTTCTGCTACCCCTGGTTTTACTGTCTCTGCCTTCATTACCAGCTCTCCCTGTTTCAAGAAGATATTGTGTAGACTTAATGAACCACATCTCTCAGTGTGTACACTCTCACTCTTTTTATCAACTTTCAGAATAATTTATTGTATGAAGACTGTGTATGATATGACTATCTGAAGCTTGATTATGAACACTGATTATTATGTTTATTTTAAATATTTGTGATGAGATAATCATTCATTCATATCAGAGAATTATTTCTCTTCTCAACAGTGTTAAAATTGTAAGTCTTTTTCTTTTCATCTTTTCAATCTGATGCTGATTTTTCTGTTCTTAGAGAAAATCATTATGAGTTTTTACTGTGCACAAAGTTGTGATGTTCACAGATACTAAGGAACTTTTCATGACTGTAAAGTTCAATATTACTGAGACATTCACTCTGATAAATTTCTTCAGAATGATAGATCTGTATCAGTCTATTCTCTAGCATCTGTTATTTGACTTCATGATGCAGGCAAAAGATATCTGTGTTTTCAGAAATAAGAATGCAGATGTTATACTCTTTTACATCTGCAGGCATGAGACTTGTATGCCTTGTCTGAGATGTTGTTATGAGAATAGACTGTTCACATACTGTGTTCTGCTTTCTGCATTCTCTCATGTCTCTCTCTCTCTTTCTGAGAAGCCTCATGTGTGTTGTAATTATGTGTACAACTCTAAGATCAGCAGGTGTTCATTTAATAACTGTTCTCATCTCTGATTTTATAATTTTTATATACTAACAATAATTCTTAGTTGCTCTGACATCAGAGATCATTCTGATTGAAGATGATAACACTGCTGAGACTACTCTCTTTCACTCTTAAGCTTCTTTTATTACTTTCTCTTCCTTCTCTGCAGAGAAGGTTGTGCACATATCAGATTATAAGTATTCAGCTTCAGATGACTTCTGCTGTCATTTATCTAATTCTGCATCTTCTTCTTCTTCTATTTCTTTCATCTCTGTTCTCTCTGCTCTGACTTCTGATTCTGCAGGTTCTGTGCTCTTCTTCAATTTCTCTATGTATATGCATGCACATTTCTATATTGACATTCCAGCCAATCTTGTGATAAATGACATTAATGTTATATACAGAGTGATAGAGAAATCAGAGATGTGCATGACATTGTTATAAGAGTGGCTTGCAGCTCTCAAATCCCTCACGGACCTTGAGTTTTGAGATTTCCTTTGTTTTTGACGTTTTTCAGGTGACGTGATGTTGGAAATAGATTAAATATGTGGCATATGAAAATGAATGAAATGTGTATAATAACATTTGTCTTTTGTGACTGACTCTTACAGTTGATAATCAATTCATTATCTCTTTTCTTACACTTTTTCTTTATCTGCTAGTCACTACTCTTACATGATCTCTATATAATACAGTGTTTAATGACTAGATTCAGCAGCTTTCATCTTTTGTAATTCTGTCTCATATATTATACTGTCTCTCTTCACCTGCTCAGATCACTACAGTGAATGACTCATTAAAACTAATCTCATCTGATCTCTGAGTGTCTTCAGAAATTGAGATGACTTAATCTCATGCATTTGCAGGTGTTTCAGATAGTTCATCCTCTGTGATCTCTGTAATTGAACTGATGTAAACAGTCAAATTCAACTCTGAATTTCTTTTTCTTCTGTGATCTGATTCATATGCAAGTCTGTCACTCTAAGACTGCTCTTTATCATGTTGCACTCACTGTCTGCAGTATGTTATTATACAATCAGCTACAGTCTCATTACTTATTGAAGTGTGATATTTATCTGATTTCTTCATTGCTTTTCATTCTTTTCTTGTAATTATGAAAAGATTGAAATAAGTGAGATCATCTGATTCATAAGTGTCTATGATTTCTCTTACTTTGTGAGACTTTTCAATTATAAGTCTCTTCTTTTTCAATACTGATAATAGTGCTGTGAATGATTATAATCTGCTCAGATCTTGCATCTTTGCTTTTATAAGTTATAAATTATTGATTAAGTTGTGTAAGATTCATCTCTCTGATTCTTTCAATGTGTATGTTTCTAGAGAATGTGATTTAAGTATCTTATATGACTCAAACCACCTAGATTGAAACTTCTCAGAACTCTCATTATATACAAGAACTTATATTCTCATCTTGAGACTTGATTTCTTAACAAGTGAGTCTTGTATTCTTTTCAATTGAATTGCTCAGTTCAGAAGTAACTCATTAGCTTTTGTATGTGTGTGACTGATCTCTTTCAATCTTGGTTT